GGGGGAGAGGGCGCTAGCTCCACGTCTCCCTGATCTGCTGGGGGGAAGCACCCCCTGCACTGCCAGAGGTGGCGACAGTGGGGGAGGCACCCAGCACTAGCTGCGCCCCTCTCCCCCCTGTTCGTAACTAGGGATCCGACATAAGTCAGATTGACATAACCTGGGGACTGCCTGTATATGTAAACTTATCAGATTCCTAATAGGCTCACACTAGGAGAAACTGCATAGTAGAGATACTGTCCTTAGGGATAAAATGGTAAACCAGGGTTCTCAGCTTTTATGTGGTAGAATCATAGAGCTGGAAGAGACCTCAGGAGGTCATCAAGTCCAGCCCGGACCAAATTTTTTCTTGATAGCTGTCCAAGAGGAAATTTTAAACATCCCGTGGCGTTTTCACAGGGAAAAGACCTTCCCAATAATCTGTCTCTTAAAACAGGCTCTGATGTAGACTGATTGTAAATCTTGAGCATATTGATGATTGCCCAGTTTTTTATAAAGTAATTTTATCAATGGTATTGAAGGTGGCCGTATCTAAAGGGCTTTGAGATACCTTACTTCTGAAAAATGCTATATAAACCTACTTTAGTTCTCTTGATGCATAACAGATGGTCGTATAAGTGTCAATATGGAGAAGACTATTTTACAAGAGACCTTGAATTCATAACAGACAGTCTTGACATAACTTGTATACACAGGTTAATTCATGTCCTTCTGTGAGATAAGTCATTTATCCCAATAACCTTTTAAAAGCCACAGCTGGCATTTCAGAATGCTTCTTGTTCAATATCAAAGCAGTGGCTGGAACTTTCAAATAGGAAAGCACTCTTCAGTAAGCAGCTGCAACTTTGAAGTGGCCAGAAGAGAATTATTTGCCAGTTTAGATAAAGAAAAGAGGCATTTAAAAGCACTTCGGAAGGGGTTAAGATTTGGATTCAGTTTCCCAGTTCCTTTCTAGAATGAGAGCAAAAAGAGATTTTTCTTTGACACATAGTCCTCTCTCATCAACTATTGCAACTTCATATTCACTGAAATCCATTTTTGTAGAAATGTATTATATTCTTGAAATGAGTTATGATGTTACTCAAGGGATCTTTGCAGTATTGCCAGTATGATTTTTCAAAAACTGATTTGCTTAAAATCATTATATTAAAAATGTAGTGTGGTTTTTATTTCCCTTTTTATTTTGTGAGCTTTTAGTCTTCACTTTTTTTTAATCCTTAACACATCCTACATGGCAAGACTTGTAATAAAAATCCCTAGAAATGATGAAGTTGTCTTTGTTATGACTTGTGTTTGAAAGTGGCAAACAAAATATCCAGCTTGTGTTTTCATAGCTTAAAATATTAGTTCTTGGCTTCTTGTGTGTATACTCAAATAGAAAACTGAGTAACTCATACTTGGCTAACGTCTAAAGTGTATCTCTGTACTGGTAGTGGTGTGTTTGAATTTGACAGTCTTTTTGCTCAGTTTGTAGTTTGCAAATGTTTATGCTATGTTGATGACACATTTCAAGCTAGTCCTTGAGAACAAACTGTATATTTTGCCTCTGTCTTTAATGGGTTGAACCTGTCCTCTCTGATCAACAGAGTAAGCCAAATGTACCTAAAGCCATTTTCACTTGGCCTATCATAGGTTCCATTTTGTTTGAGCTCCTGATTCAATAGAAAAGTTTGGGATACAAGTGGGATATTTTTCCTCCTTTTTTCCTCCTGTTTCTTTTATCATGTTTTGTCTGGCATTCTTCCATTTATTAGAAATAGTCTTATTTAATATCTGGACTTGTATTATTGTGTTCTAGTTTTATAAGAGGATTTCTAAGTTCATAGTTTGATGGTTGTTTCAGAAGCAAGATCTAATCCCACTCCTGATGTCAGAAAACTAGGAGCACTAGGTCACCAACTGCTTTCTTACTTTTTCTAGATATATTTTACTAGAAGACTTACCCAGCACTGCTTGGGTCATTCAGGGCAGGGTTTTGGAGATGTTGTGTGCTAAGAGAAGGAGGCTGGTGGTATACGGGTGCAGGAGTCAGGGTTTAAGGTTAAGGAGGGGCTCAGGCAGGAGACTGGAGGGGTGCGTGTGTGCGTAAGTCAAGATTGGGGGGTGAGGAGGGACTCAGGTTTGGGGGTGACCATTGGCTTCTCCCTGAGGCTGGTCTAGGGCAGGGGGAGGTGCATGGCCCACCCATCAGCTTCTCCCCAGGGCCTGTCCAGGATGTGGTGGGGTGGGGGAGGCTATGCACCCTGCCTGGGATGGGGGGGGGCATACGGCCTACCTGCTGCTATTCCCTGATTGGGGGGGGGGTTGCGCAGCCTACACTCTGAGACCTTTGAAGCTGGCCTAGCAGGCTGGCTGCCGGTGCTCCGAGGGCCAGTTGCTCATTGGAGCACTTGCTGCCCCCCGTAGTAATTCGTTGAGTATAACTGTCCCCTGTGTTTGGTGCTCCCCTGTGGTCATGCATGAGTATAACTGTCCCTACTATCATACCCTTCCTTTTCCTTTCCTTTTGATACAAAACAATCTCATTCCACATACATCCAATTATCCTGACACAACTAAACCCTGACGTTGCTCTAAGTTGATAAGAGGAAGCTGCATATCCAATTCGGTGACCCTAGCTCTTACATTGGGGTTCTTGAACAAATGGACTCATGGAGGAATAGACAGACAGATACTCATTTCTGAAATATATAGTAAGATAAAACTTAAATTTACACTTCTAACACAAGAAAACTGAACATGATGTAGAAAAGTGATTTTTTTTTTTATCTTTAGGTTGTATGATATTCTTAACACAGTAGATATCTTGTACTATATACATTGATAATTTTTAACTTATTTAAAATCACATCAGACTGCCAATGGTGTAGCCTCTCGGGAGGAAGAAGAAATAAGTGAACTGCAGGAAGATGACAGAGATCAGTTCTCTGACCAACTGGCCAGTGTAGGCATGCTAGGAAGAATTACTGCAGAACACTGTATACCTCTTCTTACAAGGTACACAACATTATTATAAAAGTGCACTGTAATTTAGTCTGATTAAAGCAAAAAATCACATATGAAGCAGAGTTTAATTCTTTAATATAACCTTAATATATGTAAATGACTACATAAAGTTTGCTCATTGCTTTTTTTTCAGTTTATTAGAAGACAGAGTGACAAGGCTCCATGGTCAGTTACAAAGACATCAGCAGCAGTTACTTGCCTCACCAGGATCCGGGTCAATTGATAATAAAGTGCTTGATGATCTGTATGAGGATATTCATTGGCTTATTTTAGTCACAGGTTAGTGGAAAATATTACACATAAAATATTGGTATATTGCATATGAAATTGGAGAGCTTGAGCCAAAACTGCAATATGTCTATTAGGGATGTGAACAGGTAACGGGTTAACCAGGTAGCTGGTGAGCAGCCCCTTGTCTGCAGCCCACCACATGCAGAAGGCTGCTCCAGCCCTGTGGGGCTGTCGGCTCCTAGCCTGTGCAGGAGTCGGCAGCCTTGTGTGGGGCTGGAAGCAGCAGCAGGGGGCAGGGTAGGGATGCCAGCTTCCAGTCCCACATGAGGCTTCAGACATGACCTGGGAGCTGACAGCCCTCCACTCCCCACTGCTGCTTCCAGCCACATACGAAGCTGCTGACTCCCAACCTGCACAAGCCTGCCCCCATTTAATCAGTTAACTAGTTAAACTTAAATGGGATTTTACATTCCTAATGTCTGTCAGCTCATATGTCTCCACCTTAGAACTGATTTGTATGCATTCGTGATCTTTCTCCTCATAGAGAAGTTTCACATATTAGAGGCAAATACATTATTTTCTCTTCAGCTATACTGGGTTACTTTGTCATTCTTTTTTCTTATTTCCTTATGTTAATTATGATAGACCATCTTGCTTTTTGAGCTTGTATTGATTTTGTCATACACTTTTCACTTGTTGTCTTAAGTGTTGTCAATCACCATATTCAAATAGCTTGCTGTCAATGGAAGATCATAACTAGAGTTATCTGAGGTATGTAATGGCATAAAGAACTTACTGGCATGAGTTTGATGGCCATGTTACTGGGAAGTGTCAAAAGACCTGAGCGTGTTACACAGATCATCCCAAATAGAATGCCAATAAAACGCTAAAGCAACCACATAGCACCAGACATATTTTGCTTCATTTTAGTGCAATTTTATTTTTGAAACATTTTTAAGTTTCATACTTTTTATTGATACTACCTTCTTTATATTGATATATAAAGCCAAATTGCCTTAGTCACTATGTGCATGCTACAGTGGCAGAAATACTAAAATAAAAATGTACATCTTTTAAGGTGTTTAATACAGGGTTTTGTTGTTTTTTTAATGTCTTATTTAGTGATTACCAGATCTTGATGCAAATATGATATATAGTTTACTAGCCATATGGGATAAAGTTTTTATTTCTAGTTCTGGTGAGTTATGATATATCCAACACTACAGTTGTCACTAAACCAGGAATGAATAAGGCCTGTCCTGGACATCAGACTACTGTACTTTTAAAAACCTTCTACGTAAGCTACACATGCTATGGAAAGGAAGAAACTTTTTGTGGTAAATTTTTTTTGGCATTCTTTTGAAAGCTGCTAAGAGGCTTGAAATCTCAATTTTGACTAATTAGTAGGCAGCGCATTTTATCCTGTGGCTGCAGAATAAAAGCTATTAAAAATATGTATACTACATTTCTATTCTACAGAGCCATCAGTTCTGGTAAACATAAGTCAAGCAAATATTCTATATTTTGTTTATTCAGGGATTACTTTTCATCTTTAGCTTCCTGTTATAATTTTATTCTCTTCTCTCATCTGTATACACAGTACATAATTAAAATATACATTTAACATTGTTAGTCAGGATTGATTCCAGTGCCATTTAAAATATGATGTAAAGCCAGTAGACTGAAAAACTGAGTCCTAAAATGTAAAAACTTAACTCGGGGCAAAAAAAAAGTATGGTCTCTCTCTCTCTCTCTCTCTCTCTCTCTCTCTCTCAACTTTAGGCTACCTCTTAGCTAATGATACTCAGGGAGAGACTCCACTAATACCTCCAGAAGTAATGGAATATTCCATTAAGCATTCAACTGAGGTTGACATCAATACAACACTTCAGATTCTGGGATCTCCAGGTGAAAAGGCTGCTTCTATACCAGGGTACAACAGAACTGATTCAGTAATTAGGTAAGAATACAACACTGTGTATAGCAATGTCCATGCAGAGCATCTCAGAACAAATATGTATAGATAGATGTGAGATAAAACTTTAATATTGATGGTTTCAAGCATGTAGGAAAAAGGAACCAATGCATAAACATTGAGCATGGGAAAGAAAAAAAAATCTCTTTGCCTCTTTTAAAATTCAAGTAGATGTTCCGTCAGATTGGTTATAGTACCGGGGATAATGAGGGTAATGCTATAAAGGTAGGAGAGAAAAAGTAGGAAGCATTAAATCAGTTGTAGGTTAAAGTAACAGTTTTAAGGTGAAGTTTTAAGATAAAGATGACTCAGTGGCATGGAAAAGCTAGGACTGGAAAGTGCTGAAGCTGGGGCAAGACAGGTAAAAGTGACTACTCTTCTAACTCCAGAATGTGGAAAAACAAGGAGTTAGAGTCCTGTGGCACTTTAGACGCTAACAAAAATATATACAGTATAATGAGCTTTTGTGTGCAAAACCCACTTCTTCAAATGAGCTTGAGTGGAGGAAAAAAGGGGGACTATCAGAATTATAACAACAACAACAAAAATGAGAGACTCAAGAAAAGTGCCAACAGTAGAAAGCTAGAGTAAGCGAACAGCTAAATAGGTAATCATCAGGGGAAGGTGAGCAAGTTCCTGTAGAGAGAAATGTTGTATTTGATTTGCAATAGAGATGGAGAAACATTTTTGTAGAAACAATTGTCCTTGCCAGTAAATATAAAAAAACCAAATAAATAGAGTTTCTTTTCTGAATATGTGAAATTAAATGTTTGATTCATCATTTGAGTTAAAATATCTAGATAAGACCATATGGATTAATTGCATACTGCCTTCTATAGTATGCATAAACAAAATGACATTGATTTGCAAAGCATTCCAAAGTATTACATGGGATTGTCTGCTTCTGTCCTGAACGGTTGGTCCCTGGGATTGCTCCAGAAGCAACCCTGTTGGCCTTCTGCGGGGAAAGAATGCTGTCACTGAGACACTCGGTTGCTGGCCTATTTTAAGGACCAATGTGAGGGGTTCAGAGGGATTTCCATCCTTTTTGGGAAGAAGAATGATGTGTATGGTGTTCAGTGTTGGGCAACAAAGAGGAAACATGAGCGAATGATCTGTTGTACAGAAATGCAAACGTTAAGACGGATGAATGGAGTTAGACTAAATGAGGAATGTGTCTGTTAAAAACATGTTCAAAGTAAAACCCATAAACAAAAGAATGAGGGAGGGTAAGCTCATATGGTTTGGTCCTGCAAAGTGCCGTCCTGATAGGTATGAAGGTAAGAGAATTACAGTAGATCAAGACTGAAGGAAGAAGACAGAGATTGCCCCAAGAAGTAGTGGTGGAATGTCATAGACTTGTTAACATGTGTTGTGATAGAACAATGGTCTCCAACCTTTTTACACCAAAGATCACTTTTTACATATCAGGACAAGACAGGATCTACCCCATCCATTCCCTGAGACCCCATCCCTTTCTTGAGGCCCCATCCTCTCCAAACCATTCCACGGATTACCCATTGCTAATGGAAACTCACCGTTAATTACATAATTACACCCGAGCCATTTTGCTAGTGCTGCAGCTGGGAAGAATGGTTTAATTTAAATGATTAAACAGATTAAGCATTCTAACTTTCTCATATTAGTTGATCAAAGTTCATTTTAAATAAAATCAAACATTACGTCCAACACAAAAGGTTTCAATGTTTTCTTTCTTTATGGCAGAGGTGGGGAACCTTTCTTGGGTTGGGGGCCACTGTCCTGCAGAAAAATCAGTTGGATACCACCCAAGTGAAAAGCAAAAAAAACTCCTCCCAAAACCCCCAATCCTCACTGATGTGGCCCCCAACTGAGACACCTCATTCTTCTGGCACTCCAGCTCCCACCCTACCCCCACGGGAAGGGGCAGGGAGGACTGAGGTTTAGGGCTTCCCATACATCACATTTACTTGTCTGGGGTTCCAGAGTTAGTGGATTTTATGGACCCCCTTAGGCTCTGGGTACGGACAAAAATGAGGGGCTGAATGTGCAGGACAGGGCTGCCAATGAGAGGGATAGGGATACAGGATCTGGGTGGGAGGTGGGGTTCAGGGTCTGGAAGGAGCTTAGTGGCAGAAGAAGATATGTGGTAGGGATACAGGAGGGAGTTTGGGGGTGGGAGGCAGTTGGGGCAATAACGCAGAAAATGGTGAAAGGGTGAAAATGCAGCTAAATAGCTAGTTGGAGAAGGCGGCAAAAAAATGGGAAGTAAAGGAAAGTGCAACTTCTTCAAAGTAAAATTGTATCCCCCCCCCCCATCTTCCCTCTACTCCAGCCTTGTTCCCCTCAGCCCCATGATCCCCTTCATCACCCCATGTCCCTCAGTGCAATCCCTGTGCCCCCAGTGCACTCACCGGCAGGACAGCAGCACTGGGACTTGCAGCCTCCAGGGAGCAGTGCTGGGGCGAGGGAGAGGGGACAGAGTCTCTTCCCTGCCCAGCCCAGCCCATTGCCTGTAGGAACCAGCGCTGGGGCTGGGGCAGGCAAAGCCTGGGCTGCCCAGGTAATAATGTGAGGGAGGGGGAAAATACCAGTGTCAATACAAGCTTTTTAAGTTCTATAGGCAGTGTTCCCATTGGAAAATTTTCCCCTGAATCTTTGTCCCATCCCACCATCCATGTTTAAAGAGAGAACATCTTGAGGCTGCTTACACTCCATTAGTAGAGAGTGGAAATAGCTGATTTTGTCTTGCTTCTCCCACCTCTTTGCATGAGGAGTGGAAATCTTTGGAGGAGCCATACCACCCTGCTTGGATAATTGACCCTGCTTAAACCTCCAAAGTTAAAAACCCACTAAACCCCCAAGTCAAATATCTTATTTGTGCTTCATATCTGCAGGTTATTATCTGCTATTCTAAGAGTTTCAGAAGTAGAATCACGAGCAATAAGGGCGGATCTCACACACCTGCTGAGTCCACAAATGGGAAAAGATATTGTATGGTTTCTTAAGCGTTGGGCAAAGACCTATCTCCTAGTGGATGAAAAACTGTATGACCAGGTAAGATGTTAACTGCAATTTTGGTTGCATTAATGGACTATATAGAATATATATCACTAACACTACTTCATGAAAGAGTCTGTTTTAAACCTCATGTTTCCAGGATTTACAACATTAGTTATTGTTTGTTTTGGAATGTAGTGTACATAATGATAGCCTGGAAATTTTCTTTTAATTTTTTTTTCCTGGGAGGAAATAGCTATACTCTCAACGTACAAATAACTTTTTTTTAAACCATTTTTCAGGCTTTGATATAACAGACATATTTCTGTTCCTCCATGTTGTTGCCTGGTGGAATACCTTCTCCAAATAAACTATCTGAGCCATTATTCTCTACAAATCTCTGTTTGAGATTTAATCTCCACTGTAATGGTCACAGGACATGGACTAATAATAATGGTTAGGTAGGTGTCCTGCTAGAGTTTGGTAAGCTCTCTTATTCACTTAGTTGGATTTTTGTTTAAAAAGGAGAGATAGGGGGGACCCCCAAACTTGAGGAGATTCCCAATTGTGTAATCCTGTTAGTAATTTTTCATGCCTTCCCCCCTCACTCCAATATGTTCCATGTCCATGTTGTCACTATTTTAATATACAGTGTATTTGTAACTATGTTGGTCCCAGGATACTAGTGAAACATGGTGGGGAGGCAATATCTTTATACTGAACCAACTTCTGTTGGTGAGAGAGACAAGTTTTCAAGCCACGCAGAGCTTTTTTTCAGGTTTCTCTCACCAGCAGAAGTTGGTTCAATAGAAGATCTTACCTCACCCATTATTTCAGTGGCTGTCCTTGAGGCATGGACAGACATATATGTTTTTTGTACAGTACAAATACAATAAAGCTCTGATGCTGATTGGTAACAGTGGACACAATTGAACTTCAGATCAGTAGTAGAAGACTTACTGGCCTGCACTGATTATTATAGCAATAGAAGCTATAAAAATGTAGTCACCATGCCCTCCTTGATCAGGGATATTAAAATTCTCAGAAGATGATCCCTAGTGAAATTTGAGATACTAAAGACCCCTTCTTCATCTTTTAATAGTTTTGTATTTTTAGTTATTTTTCTAAAGAAAGACTAATTCTTCTTTGATAGATTGAAGTGCATGCAAGACATATGCTGGAGCCTGAAGGTTTTCAGAACAGTGTCCACTGACCTGCACATGCACAGTGCGTCTCCTTGTGCTCCCAGCCATGGTTATGATAGTCTGTGTTGGTCAGCACCTCTCCGATTCCCACTTACTGTCACATGGCTGAAGTTGGAATCCCTGGTCATCTGTGATCTTTGTGTTTACACTGAGAGCCTTACTCCATTTGGACACTGCTATGAAAACCTTCTAGCTCCAGACATGACAAGCATGTGCACTGATGATTAGAATACAAATGGGACCATATTATAGGAAGAAGCTGTAGTTACAGGTAAGCAACCTGCTCTTCTTGTTGGTTGGGAGCCATCAGAACATGTTGACTTGCAACTAAATATAGTTTTTTGCTAAAATTTTTTGTGAACCAGGAAAATGCAATATATCTATATAAATTTTAAAGCAATTATATAACTTAACTTTTATTTATTCAGAATCTTAGTTTTTACATTGTTTATGATAATAAAAATAGTGACAGATGTATTTCTTTTTGACTAGATGATGATAATATTGTCATTTGTCACGCTCTACTTGGATGGAGAACAAAAACAGCATTTTATTTTTTTTAATTAAATAAAATGACCTTAATTGTTCTAGGAACACAGGTTATCAAAACATGTTTTGCATTTAAAACTGATTTATTAAAAAAAGGAAGTATTATATGTACATTAGTGAGTTGAACTGACTGCTTCTGGTCACCACACCTTTTGAGCTTTTGGTAATAGTAGACCTCATCTTCTCACATCTACTTCTTTCTCACGGGTTAGAAGAAGAAGAGAAAGAAGAAAAGCTTTCCTGCTTTTTCAATTGGTTTCTTAACTTTGAATGAACTAGTCATTCAATTGAGCAAGTTGAATAAACTGACACGAAGAAAGTATTCTTTCTGCAACCATAAAAGAGCACTTCATCAAGATTCTGATTCCAGGTACTTAGTGAGTAATTCCAACCAGTGCAGTGATTTCACTTTCTTTAAAACGTGGCAACAAACATGCACATGCATTGCTTAATATTATTTTTGTATGTAAATTTAGACCTTAACATAGTATGAAAAATTCACATTTAATTTGAATAAATCTATATGTAATATAAATTACAAATAACAGTTTCCTTATTTAAACACAAAATCCATTTGTATCCACCTTAATTTGTGTATAATATTGGTCTCTGAAGGTGATGATTCAAATTTTTTTTACTGACAATCTGTAAAATTGAAATTTGAAAATAACTGAGAATTTGAAATTGATTAGGCTCATAGGGCTGGACTTGATGACCTTCTGAGGTCTCTTCCAGCTCTATGGTTCTATGATTCTGCGATTCTAGGACTCAGAGGTGCAGAGTCCCCATGCAAAATTATTAATTCCTGAGATTATTTTCAGAAACTTTATTCTTACAGAGCATATGGAATCATAGAACTGGAAAGTTATCAGTCTCCTGCACTCATGGCAGGATTCAATATTATTTAGGCCACGTCTCCACTTGTAGGAAGACTGTGGTCAATGCTGTGGTGGTCAGTTTTCTAGTGTTTGATTTTAGTGTGTCTAGTAAAGACCTGCTAAATCGAATGCTGAAGGTGCCCCCATCAGTGCCGGTACTCCTCCTCTCAAGGAGTAAGAGAAGTCAATGGGAGCATTACTCCCATTGACCTCCCGCTGTGAGGACAGCTTCGATTCCAGTTATGTTTCTTACGTAGGTAGAATTGCGTACATTAAGCTGACCTTCCCTCATATTGTGGCCCTGGCCTCATTCTAGACTGTCCCTGGCAGGTGTTTGTCAAACCTGCTTTTAAAAATCTACATCTATGGAGATTCCACAATCTCCCTGGGCAATTTATTCTAGACTCAGTGCTTAACTACCTTGTCAGGAAGTTTTTCATAATATTCAGCCTAAACAGCCCTTGCTGCAATATAAGACCATTGTTTCTTTTCCTATCCTCAGAGGTGAAGGAGACCAGTTTTTCTCCCTCCTTCTTGTAATAGCCTTTTGTATGCTTGGATTCTCCTTTCTGTGTCCCTCTCCTTCCCCCCCCCCCCCAAAAAAAAAAAATGGAAAAAATGTAGGGAGAAGTTGCAAAAAAAAAAATCTGTATGATATCTTGCAAGATGTTACCTTGAACTCTGGCACTATAGAACTGGTTTATCAGGTTAGGTCTACACTAGAGCTACGTTGGCACAGCTGCACTGCTGTAGTACAGTAGGTGAACATGTGCTATGTGGACAGGAGAGTACTCTTCCATCAGCATAATGACTCCATCTCCGCCAGAGAGGTAGAAGTGATTTCAGTGGCAGAGTGTCTCCTCCTGCCAATATAGCATTGATATGTAGAGCTGAAAATCCATGGATATCCACTTTATATTCGCAGGTATCCTTGTCTGTGGATGAGGGTGCAGATTTCCGTGGCTCATTTTTGCGGATGCAAAGTTTTGTATCTGCACATGACACTATATGGCTAGCACTTAGGTCAATATAAATTGTTATTCAGGCGTGTGTCTCTTTCACACCCCTGTGCAATGTAAGTTACAACGGGGTAGTGTAAGCCAGTCCTCCTTATTAAGAATCTTTAGTTCTGAAGAACTGCAAGAATTCCTTCATGGCCCCTTTGGATTACATATGGGAAATGTTAAAGTATCTAAGTAGGTGATGTAATATGTTTTATTGAACCAACCTCTGTTGGTGAGAGAGAGAAAGCTCACATAGAGTACTTCTTCAGGTAAGAGGAGTGAGCTCAAAAGCTTGTCTCTCACCAACAGAAAGTGGGCCAAACCTTGTCTCTAATTCATGGGACCAACACAGCTGCAAGAATATTTCATACATCAGAAATCTTTCTTTTAAATGTGTTGTTGAAAGTTAGATATAAGGATACTTGAAATAGGGTTTTATAAAAAAGTTGATATTACTTCCAGTTTTTTGGCATAGAGCAAGAGGTAAGTTTGGTTTCCTATCTGTTCTTTTCTGATACTTTTTCCTTTTTGTCAACTTAACTTTTGTACGTTAAGGAAGCAAGGATTGTGAAGGTCTGAAAATGAATTACTATTTTATTTTCTTATGAAATGTACTCATTTGTTTTCTTTTTCTTACAGATAAGTCTGCCATTTAATACTGCATTTGGTGCAGACACAGAGGGTTCCCAATGGATTGTGGGTTACCTTTTAGAAAAAGTAATCAGTAACCTGGCAGTATGGAGTTCTGAGCAGGACCTTGCAAATGACACTGTACAGTTGCTAGTAACATTAGTGGAAAGGAGAGAGAGGTAAACTGCAGGCTTATACATGTCAGTTTTTTCTTTTGAATCTTTTAAAATATATTGGGCCAAAAATAAAGTGAATACAGATTATATTCCCCATTAGAATATTTTCCTGTTCTAAATAGGTCTTCAACAGCTAAGAGCACTTTCTGTTGAGTATAAAAACTTTCAAAAATTGTTGTTCAAGTTCTAGGATAAAATGTGAGGCTTTTAATCAAGATATGCACATACTTCCATACCAACCAGATAACTTTAAGTTGTTCTCCTTTTATGACATAAAACAACCATGTTGTGGAGTACATAAATTCAAGACCAGATTCTCCTCTTTTACCCCAGTTGTATGCTTCTGTAACTTCAGTGGAGCATCACCAAACATAAACCTGGTATAATGGAGAGAAGAATCAGTTTGTCATTGCTTGTCAGCCCAGTTAAATGAGCATCTCGAGTTTATATTATAATGAAATGTGCTGTTCTTCCCCTATGCCGCTCAATCACTAAGGCTGTGTCTAGACTGGCACGTTTTTCTGCAAAATCATCAGTGCTTTTGCGGAAAAACTATGCTGCTCCCGTTTGGGCAAAAGTCTTTTTCCGAAAGACTTTTGCGCAAAAGGGCCAGTGTAGACAGCATAGTACGGTTTTCCGCAAAAAAGCCCCGATCACGAAAAGGCGATCAGGGCTTTTTTTTTTCGGAAAACCGCGTCTAGATTGGCCACGGACGCTTTTCCGCAAAAAGTGCTTTTGCGGAAAGCATCCTGCCAATCTAGAAGCACTTTTCCGAAAATGGTTTTAATGGAAAACTTTTCCGTTAAAAGCATTTTCGGAAATTCATGCCAATGTAGACGTAGCCTAAGTGATTAGGAAGAATTAACTCTACCTCCCCTCACCCATCCCATAATGAAGATTTCTACATTGCTATTTACTTTTGTAGAAATAACTGCTTAGGCTTGAAAAATCAAATGAAAATATAATTATGTTGTAAAATAATATTAAATTTATATAATTTGAAGCATTTTAAATTTTAAACAATTTTAAGCATGTAGAATTTGGAGAGGGTGATGAATTTCAAAGCATTGTTTGGAGCTAAAAGCTGTACTGCTGCAAATTCTTGGAAGTTTTATCTTTTTGTGGGCTAATACAGAATAGTTGTATGTATTCGGTATGTACTGTGTTAAAAGAACATTATTATGTTTGCTAAGTCAAGCAAGCATATTTGAAAAAGCCAAAATTAAAGCTGCATGTGCAACCTTAATCCCCACCCCTTTATACATACGCATTATGATGCAGTATTTAATTGTGATTTTTTTTTCACACTGAATCTTTGCCTCATTCAGTGCACAAAACGGACAGTGCTGATTTAATGAGCAACTATTCAGTATTTTGTTTTCCACTTGATGTTTAGTATATGGCCCTGTGCCACCTTACTGCACATTATTCAAATGTTGCTCTGAAGACAGGATTATTAATGTCCTCATTCTCTTTTCTGTGGTGCTCATCATTATAGTAACTGAAGTGCTTCACAAATATTAGTGAATTTATTTTCACAATACCTCTCTGAAATGAAGGGATACTATTCCCATTTTACATATGGGAACCTGAGGCTCAGCGAGAATAAAGTAAAAAGTATATACTAAATTTTGGATGCTAAATTTGAGGTGCAACAGTTTTGGTTGTCAGTGTTCAGCCCATCAGCAAATCAGACACCAGGATCTCAGTCAGGCACTCAGAAAATGAGGAACACATGATCGATGAATGAATGAATGATGTAAAAGACTTGGTTTAAGTCACTTGCCCAGTATTACATAGGCACTCTGGCAAAGAAAGAAGTAGAATCTAGTTCTTCACAGCAGCATTGATCTTCCTTAATTGTGATACATCCTTTCTCAAGCGTTAAGTACCAAAGTCAGTTCTGAACTCCTTAGTGTTAGCTGGGAGCTGATACTGTTCAGTGATCTCTACAAGGTCCCATAACCCTGCCTCTCTCATTGCTGCTCCAACACTTAGAGGAAGCTTTATAACAGTGTGGGCTTTTTAGGGTATGTCTAGACTACATTGTTTTTTTGAAAAAACTGTCCCTTTTTTTGAAAAAAGCTTCACCTGCGTCCACATTGCAATCGCGTTCTTTCAAAATTAAATTGAAAGAACACGGGGTTTTTTGATGTTGGTAAACCTCAAATTACGAGGAAGAATGCCTTTTTCAAAAGAGCTCTTTCAAAAAAAGGCATGTATGGATGCAGAACAGGGACATTTTTCAAAAGAAGAGGCAATTGAAAAAAGAACAGATGCTCTGGCCATTCTGTGAATAGCAATCAGGGCTTTCTTTCAAGAGAGCATCCGTGCAGCCTGGACACACTTTTGAAAAAGCAGATCACTTTTTCGACCCAGTTTTGAGGTGTGGATGCTCTTTTTCGAAAGAAGCTTTTTCCAAAAAGCTTCTTTTGAAAGAAGCTTGCAGTCTAGACGTACACTTAGTTAAGGTTGGCAGGGAATTGAGTCTCATTTGGAAGTCAGGTCTGGAATCCGGGGATCAAACCATGTGTTCAGGCTAGAGGGAAACTTGAAGGGGGTCATCACCCTCCATTTTTGACTACATTAGTCAAGGAAGATCCTCCAGGTGTCCCTGAGTTTTCTGTGTAAAATGGGATTGCAGTATCCAGTATGAGAACCACTGGATTAAGGCAGAGGCACTACAGAGTCATGTTGATCCCCTAATACTTAGAATCACATGATGAGGTCAAAAATCTCCACTCTGATTTAACATCCCTTCCCATAAAGATTTCTAGTTGACTACATTAGTCAAGGAAGATCCTCCAGGTGTCCCTGAGTTTTCTGTGTAAAATGGGATTGCAGTATCCAGTATGAGAACCACTGGATTAAGGCAGAGGCACTACAGAGTCATGTTGATCCCCTAATACTTAGAATCACATGATGAGGTCAAAAATCTCCACTCTGATTTAACATCCCTTCCCATAAAGATTTCTAGCTTAACTAAATAGTAGAGCTACTTTTTTCTTACATGGACATTACAAGATATGCATCTCTCTTCAAACCTTCAGAAAGTCTCAATATCTTCCCCCCCCCCCCCCCCCCCCCCCCCACAAATCTTGCAAACATTACCAGAGTATAACTAACGCATTGGCTGCCTGTATCTTCAAGTAGCCATGAACATGGAAAGGAGGTTTCCTGGTCCCACTCCAGCCACCAGATGATCAGTCCTGTGCTGTTGCAGCTCTGGGATGACCACTCTGCTGCTGTAAAGGAAAGGAGGGGTTTTCCCTGCTTTTTTCTGTGACTGAAGGAATCCCCGAGGGGTGCTCAGGTATTAGACTTGGAAAGATGAGAGCCCATATTTTTTTGCTTGCAGCCTGTATTGTGGTTGGGAGATCCTACAACTTCCTCCTTTCCTTCTCACCCTGCCCTCTCTTCCTCACTTTTTTGTGCTTGGAACAAATGACCATGATAGCTCAAGTTTAACAAATATGTGAGAGATGATAAAAGCAAGGAGAAATTGAGTGATGGAGCAGCAAGTAGGATATGAGATCTGTAATGAATCAAGGCAGAAGGAGAGGAAATGAATAAATGACGGAATAGATGAAATGACAAAAGCAAAGGAATGGGAGCAGCAGATAGGTTTGAAACCGGAGCTTAGGCAAGCATTTTCACTGTACACAGGAAAAATAGAGAGAGAGCCTACACAGAGCAGCCTTTCTGCATGTACCCTATCATAAGCTGGCTCAGGTAGTAACAGTGAGTGCTGTTTTGAGGTACATGCAGAGCTCTTCCTTGCTCAGGAGAGGACCTAACTAACCTGAAAGCAGAGAGTGGTGGCCTACAGATGAGGCAGGCCCTAGTTTATGCAAAGGGAAGCAAGGCAAACCAGTCTTTCAAAATATATTCTTTGCTTTTATGTTGGTGGCCCCTGCCACTGGTGGCCAAATCAGAGAGAGCAACAGTGCACAAGAGGCTGGATGTGTGGGAGTATGAAGGGCCTTGGTTTGTCTTAATCTGATCCTGCTAGAAATGTTTCCCTGAGCAGAGGCAATCACTGTGTGGTGGAGTCTAGCTGGTTTCAGACCCGAAAGGGGTCTTAGACTACTCTTGTGACCAGAATCTTACTGCCCAGACACCAGTTGAGGAGCTCTGAAGATAAACAAGAGATGCCCTCTTTTATGTTATTTTGATGTGTACAGATTTACAAGCTGCAAGAAGGAACAGTAACTAAAGACTTTATTGCATTTTCTTTTGGTTAAACCGCTCTGAATAAAATAGATTTTGCTTTTGCTTAATCTGAATCTCCTGTAAATTCTTTAAAATTTAAGATATAACTCTGAGCCTAGACAGGGTGGATGAGTGGGTATATGAGAGAGAGAAATGGGATCATGGTGTTGAAAGCTGAGAACCATTGGATTAAGGCATAGGCACTTAAACCATGTTGAGCTCCTAGCTCCTGGAATCACATGATGCTTGAGCTCAATAAGTGTGAGATGCCAAATAAAGAGTAGTATACACCTTTACAAAGTACTTTCCCACTTTTTTCTCTTATTAATTAAATGATTTCTAAAGTAAATTTTATAGAAATCTAAAAAAAAGGCACAAGTGTCAGAAAGAATAGAGACTAGGTACAAATCCTAGTGAATATAAAAAGTTTTAACTAAATTGACAGTAAGAATACTTGCTAGAAGCATATGTATTTCTAAAGGATTTTCTGTGAGTAAGCAGTTCTTTACTTTTTATTTTATTTTAGGGCAAATTTAGTAATTCAGTGTGAGAATTGGTGGAATTTAGCTAAGCAGTTTGCAAGGAGAAGCCCACCTCTTCACCTTTTGTCCAGCTCTGTGCAGAGAACACTAATGAAAGCTCTAGTTTTAGGAGGTTTTGGTCATATGGACACTGATACAAAACAGCAATACTGGACAGAGGTAAGACATTTTTTCTGTCGCCTTCATTTCAGCAAGCAATGAAACTAAATTCCAAGTTAGTTTTTTAATTCAACATTACTGTTGCCCAGGGATGATAACACTGAGCATCTTTAAAGGCTTTTTTAATTTTAGAATTTCACTGATTCTTATTGTAGCTAGACATTTATAAGGTGCCAGTTATAGGGTACGTAAGAGTCTAGATATTTAAAGGTGACCAATTAATATTACATTGAGGATCATTTTATTATTTCATAAATTTTTTTAAACCATTCTCAAATGGTTTAATTCAAATGTAGTGTAGGACTGATTATCAGAAAAAGAAAAAATTCCTTAAATCTGAAGTCTTTTGAAGTCCCATTTCTTTCCCTGTTAACTTTTTAGTTTAAATGATTGTTGTAAGATGTTATGTATTATGTCAGGCTTAACAAAATGTAACAGTACAGTAGAACCTCAGTGTTTTGAACACCTCAGGAATGAAGGTTGTTCATAACTCTGAAATATTCATTACTCTGAACAAAACAATATTCTTCTTTCAAAAGCTTACAATTGAACATTGGCTTAATACAGCTTTGAAACTTTACTATTCAGAAGAAAAATGATGCTTTCCCTTTATTTTTTAGTAGTTTACATTTAACACAGTAATGTACTGTCGCTCTTTTTTTTTTTAAACGGGGTGAGATATGTCTGCTGCTGCCTAGTGGTGTACTTCTGGTTCCAAATGAGATGTGCAGTTGACTTGTAGGTTTGTAACTCTAGAGTTTATTAACTCTGAGGTTCCACTGTAAAATAATACAGTTAATTAGGAGAAAAAATAATGAAGCATCTTGGCCCTAGAGGAGGGGTGGGCAATGACATGGTGGCAGTTCACCAGAGTTAGCCCCTGGAGGGCTTCCACTGCTAAATGTACTTGCATGGCCACAGGTACCAGCGATCGCAGCTCCCATTGGCCACAAATCACTGTTCCTGGCCAATGGGAGTGGCAGGAAGTGCCACAGACCAGGAAACCCCTGTAGCTCCTATCGACTGAGGAATGGTGATCCACAGCCAACAGGAGCTGCAGTCTCTGGTACCTGTGAATGTACAAGTAAATATAGTGGTGGGGGTCCACCAGGAGTTAACTCTGGTGGAATAGATCCAGTCCATGGGCCAGTATTTGTCCACCCTTGTCCTAAAGGACAACTGAAACATGAGCAATAAGCTCTATATGTTTATAAAGAATAAATCTTGTGAAAAACTTGATCGCTTTTTAATAAATTACGAATAAATAACTGAAAGAGAACTTAGCAGAGGTACTGGTAACACAGTGGGTTTTTGTAAAGCCTATTACTGTTTTGAAAAACTAAATACAAAAATAAGATCAAATTAGCTATTAACAGTGTCATACAGATTGAATGTAAATTGGGAGATTTCATATTTCTATAAATAAAAGGTCACTTTGTAATTATTATTGTATTTGCTCTGGTATTTACAGGACAAGGGTTGGTAAACTTACCAACTTCCTAAATAAAGTTTGTTTAAAAAAAGATAGATGGCAGTGTGTTGTGTGGTACCACAAAGATAATTAAGACTGATCTTATTTAACAATTTTATTAATTAGCTAGAAGAGAAAAGATTATACAGAATTTGGAAGAGATTCACGTAAGAGAGGACAGAAAAAGGCACAGTAGAGAGGAATTTAACATCACAAGAGAGCCGAAAATAAATTGGCAAGAAATAATGTTGAAACAGAACTCTTAACGAAGATAGTGCATGGCAAGATTAAGTTAAAATTCAGTTACTGGGCAAGATTAATTACTATGTTGTTATAATTTTATGTGAGTTTTAATTCCATTGAAATTGTTGAAGTTGCATTAGAATAACAGTAAATTTTCCCAGTATTTTGGAGGTCTGAAGAGGGGGAAAGGTTGTGTGCCATAAAGGCTTTAATTTTTAATGAATAAATAGGAAAATGTGAGTACTACATGATTTAAACTGGAATAATACATTTCAGAAATGGCTGTTTAATTTTTTATTCTCTAGGTTCTACAGCCACTTCAACAGCGATTCTTGAATGTGATAAACCAAGAAAACTTTCAACAGATTTGTCAAGAGGAGGAGGTGAAACAGGAAATCACTGCCACACTAGAAGCACTTTGTGGCATTGCTGAGGCGACCCAGATAGATAATGTAGCAATCCTCTTTAACTTTCTAATGGACTTCCTTACCAATTGCATTGGATTAATGGAGGTGTACAAAAACACACCAGAGACTGTTAACCTCATAATAGAAGTTTTTGTTGAAGTTGCACATAAACAAATATGCTATCTTGGAGAGGTAAACACAATAAAAAAGTGTGTGTGTGTATGCATAATAAGATCCTATTCTCTAAATCAAGTAAACCACAATGATTTTATATGCTGAAAGGAAGAAACGTTGTACTGCTGAGCCCTCTTAAATGAATAACTGTTAAGAGTGAATATATTTAAAAATAGACATCAAAAGATATAATTGATCTTCTAAAATAATATATCTGCTAACTTATTTTTATAGAATCCATGAACATTATTCACTGAAACTGATATGTTATTCAAAGGAAATAGACCTCTTTAAAGGAAAACAGATTTGATAAAACAAGCAAATCCTTTACAGATTTCTACTATAGTAAAACGCAAGCACACTGACTGGAGAGTGGAAAAAGAGAGCATCCCACAGTTTTGCCTCTTATGTCAATCAGAAAGCTTTTGGATGTACTAAATAATCTTTCCTTGTCTATAAGTGAGAGTGCATATATTATCTCTTGAAAGGTAACCCAAAAGTACAGCTAGACTGTGCATACACTAACAAATGTACCTGTTCATCATTAGTCCACTTCTATCAATTCAGGGTGTTTTACCATGCTTAACTTTCTCTGAAAGTTTGTCATGGGAAACTTGCCACTGGTATAACTCCTGATGCAAATTTGTAATGTAGAGAACACTGCATTCATGCTAAACAGAGCATGCACCAGTATAATTTACCCTGGTAAGTTGTATCAGTGCAGGGGATGTTATACTAGTGTGGTTATACCTATGGAAATTTTCCTAATCTGGACAAATGCTATTTATCACCATTGGATCTGCCATAATGGTGGATTAAAGCTATAAAATTTGCTAGTGTGAATAAAACCTTAGAGATTCTGAGTATGCAATTCTAAATTATTTCACGAGTTTGGCAAGGAATGTCATCCTGTCCAAAACCATTCTATATATGGACTCTGCTTTACAATTTTCTTTTAAAGTCTGGGGAGACTGCTAAAAGCATGGTTGTATTACTGAAGTATTGTAGTCACTGCTGATTGAGTAAATAGGCAAGATAGTTATGTTATTTAAGCCACTTTCTTAACAATTTTATTTGTATTTATTACTCTAAATAGTAACAGTTAATAGAAATGAAATCAAAATTACTCGTGTATTGTCCTCCGAGTAGCTCCAAAAGCAGCAATAAAAAGTCAATATTGAGCGTGTGAGCATATGTAATATATAACCTATTTAAATTCCTGTTTTGTTTCTTTGTCGCAGTCCAAAGCCATGAATTTGTATGAAGCCTGCCTGACTCTTCTTCAAGTATATTCCAAGAATAATTTAGGTCGGCAGCGAATAGACGTTACAGCGGAAGAAGACCAATACCAGGATCTTCTTCTTATTATGGAGCTTCTAACTAACCTTCTGTCAAAAGAATTTATAGATTTCAGTGATACAGGTATGAAGGAATTGGAGATGAAAAGATTCAAGTGTTGGTGAACTACTCTGGGTAGTTCTGAGCAAAAATTATGGTCCACACAGTAATACTTTAATTTTCTTCTGAGGAGTTAGTGATTTTTTTTTAAATCAGCAAAATATATTGTGGATAGAGAACTAATTATCTAAGTAATGTAAAAGTAGAGATTAGGGAGTCTAGTTTCCACATATTGAGAGAGCACTTACTATTCAGATTCTGGTACCTCAGAGAAGCATGCATGTAATTCATGGCCCATTGTTCTTTTTGCATTGCTATTGTATACTGAACAATTTGAAAGCTGAACTAGAACAAGCCACTAATGTGGAAATAAAGGAGTGGTAGTTATCAAAAACAAAGCCAGTGAAATCAAAATTAGGGTATAGTTGAAAATGTAGACATTTCAGTGTGATGGAAGTTCTATCATTCCAGCTACACTTCAGGGAGACGTGTAGATATTCAGCAATTTGCAGAACAGGCACTGTGGTACGCTGTTAGTGTTTAGTTATATTTTCTCTCTTCTGTCCCAGTCTTTTTCTCTTTATAATCTCTGCTGTTGAAAATCTGATATGCTAGTTGTAAATTAATTATATTAAATCGTTTTTTAAGTAAGCTAAAAAATGTTAACCCAATGTTCAAACTTTACCAGATTTTAGAAAGTTTTGTGCAGAGGACGCAGAACAAAAGGAAATGGTATCCATCTGCCTAGGTATTTCTGTTAATGCCCATCACAAGCTCTGAGTGCACATATATAGTTCTATACACACTCAAATGCACAGTCTGAATTCTGGTCCCTGATTTTTAATCTACAAATAAGTGTCATGGACTTTCTGTAGCCATTGTATCTTAATCTCAATTCAGATTGCAGTGTTTGAGTCAGGGCTGTGAGGAATTGAACATCTGCCATTGTGATTGGTTATGTGGAAGAATTTGAAAGGGAGTTTGTCATGAAACTAAGGAGTCTGAATACATTTCCAAATTATGATTAGGGGGTAAGACACGAGTTAAAGTTTGTGTGGAAGTTACATCACCAGTTAAATCAAAATTCTTGCTTTTTGGTGTGTCAACTGATAGGAAATGCAATTGTGAAACCTTACTTTGAAATAAATAGTTTTCTGTGTTCTAACATACTTTTAAATGCTAAGGCATACTCCTAGTACCTGAGATTTCCTGTTCTTATAGGATCTTTTGGAGTACTATATTGTGATGCCTAAAATGAAGCGGGTATTTAAATCTCCCCCGTTTCATTAGCATAAAAATGGCTGTCGCTTTTTTCCACGCACAGAGCTTTGCCGGAAAAAAGCGCCAGTCTAGATGCTGATCTTTCAGAAAATAAAGCCTTTTCCGAAAGATCCCTTATCCCTCTTGAAATAAGGGATAAGGGATCTTTCGGAAAAGGCTTTATTTTCTGAAAGATCAGCATCTAGACTGGCGCTTTTTTCCGGCAAAGCTCTGTGCGTGGAAAAAAGCGACAGCCATTTTTATGCTAATGAAACGGGGGAGATTTAAATACCCGCTTCATTAGCAATTGCGATACATCTAATTTACATCCCTTTTACGAAAAAGGGATGTAGTCTAGACATAGCCTATGGGCCTAAGCATAGGATGAAGTTGCAGCCTTAACTGTCTTAATTCCTCTTTAGTGTGTTTGCTATCTTTTTTTTAAACTCTATGGCTTCTTGCATGAAAATGTGACACTTCAGTATGTCTGATCTGTCTTTTTATATTTAATATGTTAACTGTAAAGATGTATGTGTTTTTTATAGATGAAGTATTTAGAGGGCATGAGCCAGGACAAGCTGCAAATAGATCTGTGTCAGCAGCAGATGTTGTCTTATATGGAGTTAATCTAGTTCTGCCATTAATGTCACAGGATTTGCTGAAAGTAAGTGTATTTTAACATATATGTATTTACACATGCGTGCACATACATTTAATATGGAAACTTCTTCTAAAAGGGTATAAATGTTGAAGTGGTTTCTAAACTTTGAAGTTGTTAGAGCAGTTTATGTAACCTGAAAGTTAAATACAATACATTTTCTAAGCTTTATTTTATTGTATATGCAAGAAATTTTTCTCTGGCTCCAGATAACCTCAGAAGAGCTATATACATGGAGGATGTAAACGAATTTTGTCTTTAAAAAAAAAAAAAAAAAAGGCAGTCTTACCACAAGTCTTTTTATTTTGAATTGAGTTGAGATTTTATCACAGTATTAAAAAAAGATTTAGACATTTATATGGAGAATGAGAATATCTACAGTTCTGTTAGGGCATGTCTACACTGCTGGGGTTCCAGAGGCAGGCTCTGGCTGGGAGGCATTTACCTAAACATCTCCCAGCCAGCAGCCCTGCAGCTTCCCTAAGGCAGCCTGGGCTCCCTGCCTGCTACAGCCCCAGATCACTTTAAACTTTAGGCTGCTCTCTCCAAGTGGCTCTCCGTTCTGGAGCAGGAAGAGGCTTGAACTGCCCCTTTTCCCCAGGCCAATCTCTCAGCCCCTCTCTCAGCCCATTCAGATCCGATGACTTAGCGAGTCACATCTAGGCCCCAGGCCATAAGTTGCCTAGCCCTGAGCTAGGGACAGTTCCTGCCCATCTTGGCTAATAGTCATTGATTTAAAGGCTAGGTTACAAACTACAGTTAGTAGTTCTGCAATTTCACTTTTGAGTTTTCAGAACTCGTGTGAATGTGATCTGATTTTTGGCAACATATACTGTTTTATCGATTTGTTCCAAAGCCACCTCTGATACCTTAATCTGGGACAATTCCTCAGATTTGCTACCTAAAAAGGATGGCTCATGTTTGGGAATCTCCTTCTCATCCTCAGAACGCAAAGAATTCATTTAATTTCTCCGCATTGGCCTTCTCATGCTTGAGTGCTCCTTTAGCATCTCGATCATCCAGTGGCTCCACTGGTTGTTTAGCAGGCTTCCTGCTTCTAATGTACTTTAAAAAAATTGCTATTACTTTTTGAGTTATTGACTGGCCTTCTTAGTTATATTTGCACACTTCATTTGCCAGATTTTGTTCTTTTCTGTTTTCCTCTCTAATATTTAATTTCTACTTTTTAAACAATCCCTGTATACCTCTCACTGCTTCTTTTACTTGATTAAGCCACAGTGGCACTTTTTCTATTCTCTTGCTGTGTTTTTTAAGTTGGGGTATACATGTAAGTTGAGCCTTTATTATGATGTCTTTGAAAAATTTTCATGCAGCTGCAGGGATTTCACTTTTGGCACTGTACCCTTTAATTTCTGTTTAACTAACCTCATTTTTGTGTAGTTCCCCTTTCTGATATTAAATGCCATAGTGTTGGGCTGCTGTGTTGTTTTTTTCTGTCACAAGGATGTTAAATATAATTATATTATGATCACTCTTCCAAGTGGTCCGGCTATATTCGCCCTTTGGACCAGATCCTGTGTTCCGTTTAGGATTAAATCAAGAATTACCTCTCCTCTTGTGGGTTCCGGAAACACCTGCTGCAAGAAGCAGTCATTTAAGGTGTCAAGAAACATTATCTCTGCATCCCATCCTGAGGTGATGTGTACCCAGTCAGTATGGGAATAGTTGAAGTCCTCCATTATTATTGAGGGTTTCTTTTTTATTTTTATGGCCACTGTAATCTCCCTTAGCATTTCATAGTCACTATCACTATCACTATTCTGGTCTGGTAGTTGGTAATGTATCCCTATATTCATATTATTATAGCATAGAATTACTATCCATAGAGATTCTATGAAACCAGTTTGGTTCATTTAAGACTTCTACTTAATTTGATTCTGGTTTTTTTCACATTTAGTGCCAGTCTCCCACCAGCACAACCTGATCTTTTTTCCCCAATATATTTTGTACCCTGGTATTACTGTGTGTCATTGATTATTCTTATTCCACCAATTTTCTTTGATGACTACTATGTCAATATCCTCATTCAATAAGGGGCACTTTCATTAACCCCTTTTATTTTCTACAAGCACTTGTCACTAGCTGTCTGCCATTTGATGTGATTGAATGAGATGTTTTTTCATTTGTCTGTTTCTTATCATATTTTGTATTTGTGATTACTTGTGTACTTTTTTCCACCAGGATAACACTAATTTATTTTTGGCTTTTTACTATTTTTTAAAGTCATATGCATATAGTTATTGTATATGACAGTAGAAATCAAATGAACAGAATAAAAACATACTGATGACTGTAACTTTGACGTTTATATCTGCTAATAATTATCTTTCTTCTCAGCAGAGTACATCAGTCTCAGTCCTGCCTCTTTGTTCCACAGAAATTTCAGAGAATTATTAAAACAGAACTAGTTGAGTGTTAAATTGCCAATATATTTCTTTTGACAGTTTCCATCTCTGTGTAATCAGTACTACAAATTAATCACCTTCATCTGTGAGATATTCCCTGAAAAAATTCCTCAGCTTCCGGAAGACCTTTTTAAGAGGCTAATGTACTCATTGGAGTTAGGGATGTCATCGTATCCTTTTTAATGAATTTTAAATGCCTTTCCTTTTTTATGAAGACATTTTAACTTTCTTCACTTTTTTCCATTTTTGCTTCTATTTATCTCTGCTTATATAAAAGTAGTGTTATAGTAATTTTTCTCTTTCAATTTTGCCCTTGCATTCTAGTTTATTATTATTATTATTATTTATTGGAGTCATTGGAATGTCAGCTGAGCTTCAAACCTTACCTGAATTTAATTATATCCATAACATTTCTTTAATGTCGTTTTTAAGTGGTTTCGTATGTGTATGTTCTTGCTGGCAACCTCCATTGCCTCCTCCCTATCTCACAGAGAATGTGACTTCATAAGCCTTCTGGTGATATCCCAAAGCTATTTCTGAATTAGTTTCTCAGCTGGTAATGCAAAATACTGTTGTTGTTCTACTGGACTAGCTTCTGAGTATTTCTTGTCATATTGCCAGTAGGGTCTCCCTTTATGATAGAGAGTACCATTTTCACTAATTTGCAGCATATGTCAACAACAGATGAGACACTTACTTATAATGGACTGTTTCTGAAAATGTTTGGTCATGGATAACTGAGATATTTTACAGTGTATAGTCAATAAAAGAGGGTATTAAAGATGCAATAGATTCCTAAATTTGTTAAAGCACTCTATAGTAAAGAAAAAGTCAAGGAGCATGTACTCGTTACAGTGTTTTCTAATAATGCTGTTTAGAAATGTACAACAACTTAAAAAGGAAATCTGACTTTTATTCTTTGATGCTTATTCTTTGACACTTCACTTATCAGAATGAGTTCTGAGGTATGCCAGCTTTGTCTGGAAGCTTTAACACCATTAGCAGAACAATGTGCAAAAGCACAGGAAACAGACTCATCACTATTTCTAGCAACAAGGCACTTTCTTAAGGTAAAATATCTATTTGCGAATTACATTGTCATGTTTTATTTATTATTGGTATTATTACAGTAGTGCCAGATCAGTGGCAGACCTGGCACCGCTCATTCTGTAGCTCATATTTTTGTGTTTGTGCATGGGCTTCAAAGTGAAACTTAAAATATATTAGTAATAATCACTATGAAGTATGGCACAAAGAACTAAAACAGAATGGGCAAGTTTGCTTGTAAGCTGAAGGGTGGAGAGGGCAAGACGCAACAGGAATAGATAGGAGAAATGGAATAAATGATTACTAAAACGGGGAAAAAAGAAGATGCTTCTCTAGTTAGTCTTTTTATTTAAAAAATAGGTCCTTAATCCAGTGCAGTGTTCATTGTTTGCTGTTCTGGACTACTTCCTCCACCTTGTTCAGCTGCGTCCTGGCCATAAACTGCCTGATAGGAAGAACTGTGCGCTTAATCTGATTAAATGTCTATTAAAAAATCTCTTACCTTACTCTTCTGCATAGACCAAGTCTTGCTTAGGATCTTAATTTTCTCATATCAGGGTCCTTGACATCACACTGGCTAAGAGACTGTACAACGAGGCTTAAATAAATATTAATAAAGCTGTTATATCTTCCAAATGGGTGTGCTCATTTTTCAATCCCTTCCCTAAATTTCTACCTTAAATTCTCTGACTTCTACCCCATTCAGTCATTTCCTCACCTACTTAGTTTAGGATTCTCCAAAATCACAATATCTTTCACAGATCTGATTAATGAGCTCCCCATTTTATTCTGGAAGAGAAAAATCTTTCTTTAATTCTTTCCATTGTTTATAGAATCATAGAAATGTAGGTCTAGAAGGGATCTTGAAAACTCATCTAAGTCAGCTTGGTGTGCTGAGGCAGGACCAAATATACCTAGACCATTCTTAGCTTGCATGTGTTTAACTTGTTCTTAAAAACTTCCTCTGAATCCTATCTCATATTTAACTATTCTTATAGTTAGGTTTTCCTAATAGCTAACTTAAAATTCTCTTGCTGCAGAGTAAGACCATTGCTACTATTAGTACATATGGAGAACAATTGATTGCTGTCCCCTTTATAACTGTCTGTATATATTTGAAGACTGTTGTTAGGTCCCTCTTCAGTCTTTTTAGACATGCCCATTTTTAATCTTTCCTCTATTATATCATAAAATGAGCAGATAAATAAAAGATCATACATGATAATAAGATATTGTGAGTTTAATTTTGTGTGAATACAAGGACATGGTTATCCTATTATTTGCACCTTTTATAGTGTTTGTTGGTATTTGATTGTGCCTCTTCCTAAACAGCTAATTCACAATAGAATCTATGCTCTATTTTGGTAAAGAAAATGTAGCGTTTCTCCCCTTTCTTCATAATCAAATCTTTTCCTCAGAAAATTTCTATTGAATCTTAGTAAATATGCTGCTTTCACTGCAAACAAGTCACATTTACATAACAAAGCAATAGCCCCCTCTCTTGTTTTCTGGCTCTAAAAGCATAAACTATATTAAAATATTTTTCCAGAAATCTTATTCAATAACTCAATCTCCACAAAGCCATACAGGACTTAGACTTGTCTTGGGGTGAGGTCTTCAGTTGGTCTGAATCTTTTTCGGGATGTAAAAGAGTAGTTGATTAGTCAACTACTCGCATTTCCTCCCCCCCGCCTCCATTGATGCCCCTATATCAGAGGCAGCAGGGCAGGGGAAAGTAGGAGTTGGTGCTTGGGGGAACCGGCTTAAAAGCTGGTTACCCGCAGCACTGTCTCTGCGGTGCCGGTTGCTGCCCCTCTGCGCTGCAGCCTCTGTAAGAAGCAGAGTGGGGAGGCTGCTCCATCAGCAGCTCCTCTCCATGGAGGTGTCCCAGTGAGGATTTCCCACCCCCCTCCTTTGCAGGCAGGAGCTGTTGCTGGAACAGCCTCTGTTCACAGTGGCCAGGGCTGGCTCTTAACAGAGGTTGCTCCGCAGCAGCCCCTGTCCACAGGGGGTGTGGGACACAGCGCGAGCTGGGACTGAGCAAGCCCAGCTCAATCCCAGCTCACATCGGGTTCAGGAGCTACTCCCATAGTGGTTCTGCAGTTTAAATGTAGTAAAAGCCGGGCTGCCTGTATGCTTGGCTTTTACTACATTTAAACTGTAGAGCCACAGCAGAGGTAGCTCCTTCTGAGCACCTTCCCTTCTCTACTAATCATGTAGTTGATACAAATTGTATCGACTACACGATTACCCAGTTACCCGCCTCTTATCATCCTCAATCCTTTTAGCTTCCTAAACAATATTTCCCCTTCTACTTTATCACATAGTGGCAGCCTGACAGTCTACATTTTTGATAAATAATTTGTGTTGTCACTTTAGATGGTCTTTGATATGCTGGTACTACAAAAGCACAATACAGAGATGACAACTGCAGCAGGTGAAGCATTCTACACATTAGTGTGTTTGCATCAGGTATGGTATTATTTTTCCTATTTTTAAACAGTTGTTTAAAAGCTGTTTTGTACGCAAAATAATGTTTAGGTTATTTGTATACCTAGTTGAAATGCAATGGTTAAAGGACGATATTGGCAACAATTCATTTTTTCCCAATGCAAATTAGACAAAGAAAGAAACTTGTTAAATAGCTTCAGAAGAGGTGGATTTTGCACTTTATATGCTTTTCCTTGGTATGTGGCTTCATTGTAATCATTTACTTGTTCCTTGTTGATTTTGATAGCATTTTGGCAGATATTATTCCATGACATGTTGATCATGACATCCAGCATCTTTGTAAAACCAAAATTAAATCAAATTTGCTGATTAGATTTTTTCCAATACATATTTTAGAGCTGTGAACAAATTTAGCTCCAAAAGTCCCTTTTGGCTCTATAGTTGGAATGGTTGTTATAATTTAACAAGGGTCTAATTAATTTTATTTTCTAGATATGTATTATCTTAGAAGTTCTAGGAATACAATAATACACGTATCTGTAGTGATTCTGTGGAAAATTTCTTATCTTTCACATTACAAATTTGTCCCATATTCACTTTTTAAAATCACGATACAAAGACTTGTATTACTTAGGTTCTATGGCTCCTCCTGTCTCTCATTGGCACAAATCTAGTTTTCTTGAAACGCCTTTCTGTAGAAAAAAATTCTGCCGGTCTCCTGTTGTCTGTTTACCCTATTTCTACTTTCTTCTCCTCTTACCTTCCTTAGGGTCAGAAGTCTAGATTTTTTCTCATGAGTGTCCTAACAGTACTTGTCTCCTCAAAACAGTTATTAAATCAGTTTAGGAATCTTACAACTAGGGGTCAAAGTGGGAGGGGGTGGGAAAAGGTGATGGTTCTTCAAGTGGTTGTTGTAGATGTAGTCCACTCAGGTGTGTCCATACTTAGCATGCTGAGAGCCAGAGACATTTCCCCCTGCAGCAGTACCCAGTGGGGCAGCGTGCATATTCTGCACCTCCTTCTGGGCACCCTGAGGCTTTATAGCAGGGGTGGGCAATCATTTTTGGTGGGGGGCCACTCCACGATTTTGGAAGGGCTGCACTTTTCTGTGCAGGAGATGTGGGGTCTAGGATGGAGGTTGGGTGCAGAAGGGTTCACGGAGTAAGGGATGGGGGTACAGGAGACGCTGTAAGGACTTAGGGGGCGTTTGAGTGAAGGAGGGGGTTGGGACCCAGGTCAGGGAATTGGGGTGCAGGGTGTTTGGGTGCAGGAGAGGATTCTGGCTTGAGGGAGGCGTGTAGGAGGGGGAACAAAGTCCGGGAGTTGTGACCTGGGGCAAGGGGGTACAGAGGATTTTGATGGTGACCTGGGGGAGAGAGTTGGGGTGCAGGAGAGGCAGGGGTGCCAGAGGTAGGCACTGGCTGGGAGATGCTTATCAAGCCAGCAGTCCTGCAGTACCCCCAAGGTACAGTATCCCCTTATATCTCCATGTGGCTCTCCGCTCTGGGAGGGGGAAGAGGCTTGTGCTTCCCCCTCCCCCAGGCCAGTCTCTCAGTTCCTGTTGGTCGGTTGTTGCTAGCCAATAGGAGTTGAGGATTGGGCTAGGGGCGGGGAGATCACCCAAATCTTCCCCCTCCCTCCAGAGCAGAGGGCCGCCGGACTACGCTTTAAAGCCAGCTGTGTTCCTGAGGGTTCTAGCAGAGTGGTCTGCGGCCAGATCTGGTGGCTTCACGGGTTGTATTTGGCCCCCAAGTCGTATTTTGCCTAGTCCTGCTATATAAGGATAGCAGAGCTCCAAACCCTATCCTATTCCTTCTTAACACTAGCAGCTTAAGTCTGAGCTCCCTCTGCAGTTCTCTCCTCACAGTTTATTTCTTAGCACTTGCCGAAAGCTTGTAATGTAAACAGTAGCCACTAGTACCCACTGTGCAGTATAGTGTAACATCATTTTAGTTAGTTGTAGTAAGTTATGCAGTGTTCTCAGGTTTTTAAGCACCAGACATCTTGTGGGGTCTCTGTTCCTAACAATGACCTGCCTATATGCTCCTTACTATGTCTCATTAAGGTAAGGTGCAATATCTAATGTTTGTTGAAAAATGTAACACTGAGCTTCAGAGACCTTCACTTGAAACAGCACCTGATAGAATAGGCTACAGAGCCTGTTTTGGCACCAGAACATTCATTGGCTCATTTGGCTTGCCCTTCAGAGGCAATGTCTACTATGGTTGTCCCTGGACTCTGATTCTGCTCCAAGAAGAGAAAGCGATGGTTCACGTTCCCCAGAACACCCGTAAAACTAACTAGCACCCTCAGAAATCAGAGATTTGTCATCCTCTTTGTCCAGAAAAGGCTATCAGTGACATCAAAACCCATTAACCTATGTCTCCCCAGTAATAGGATAGGAAGATCCTGTACCATACCATTGACTCAAGAAACACCTATCAATTTCAATACCTATGGAAATCATTGTACACTGTCTGGCACTGTTTCTTTTGGTAGTGTCGAAGCAAAAACACGCTCCTCTCTGTTTAGGCGGCTAACAACTGATTGCTTTATTGACCAGTAAAGCAAAGTGAGCCAAACGTGGTCCCAGCAAAGTCGGGCCCAGTAAAGCTGCTAATACAATCAATCCTAGTATCTTTATACCCTTAGCCAAACAGTCTGACGTCAGGGCATCCAATTACAGAAATCCTCAATTAAATTTGGAAAAACAAAGCCTTATCAACAAGATGGCGGACAGGTACAAGGGAGTACCTCTCCTCTCTGAACCAGCCCAATTAACACATTCCAATAGCACATCTGTCTTGGCCTGGCGCATGGGGTGATAGAAAGTTCACTCTGGCCTACGTGCAAAGACAAAAAGCTGAAATGGTTTCTGTTATACAAGATGGCTTCTAGCTAAACATAAAATAGCTTCTACAGTAGCTATCATCTCACAAGCCTTTATGGCAGCAATACATTTATTTTTCTCTGCTGGCATTTCCAATAACACAGAAGCTAGCGGTACATCAGTACCTGCAGCAATTCCAGGTTTATCAGCTCCTTCAACTTTAGGACAGTTTGCAAATTCTGACTGCCACATTACTGATGAAGAAATAGGCACGGTATATGGTTTTGGGCCTGAGGACCTGGTATCAATGGACCCTTTGTCCTCAGGGTGTCCAGCGCCCTGGATACCCAAGACCTCAATATAGAGGTTGCTTTTCAGGATGCAGACAGATTCCATCAGGCAGTACACTCTTCAGTACTAAACCCCATCTGCATAGCCTCTACCTCCCGGGATACCCTTACAATAGCTACTGAGGTTCTACCTCCAGTACTCAGCACTCCTTTGTTGGCCAGTAGACAAATATGGGTGGGTATCAAGCTGTGGTAGGCTTCACTGATGCTCATGGACTACTCAAAGACTCATCAGTTTGATGAGTCTTGATTAAAGCAGTTATGCCAAGTCACTCATGTGTTGACTAGTAGTCATCAATATCAAGAATACAGCTGCCCTTGTAACAAAGACAGACTCCTGGCCTACCATGTACTGGCCCTGCCACTTAGGGGTGAAGCCCTTAAGCTTTTTAGGCAGTTGGGCTTGGGCTTTATATAATTCTTGGGGGGGGGGGGTTTGTGGGGGAGTATTTTGTTTTTGGTAGGTTGTTTGTGTTTGGTGGTGGATGGTTTGTGTTTGTTTTTTGTTTGTTTTTTTTTGTTTGGTTGGGGGTTGGTGTTTGTTTTTGGTTGTTGTTTTGTAACCCAGAACTCCTCTGTTCATGTCCAGTTCCGTATTAATATTAGGATATAAAATCATCCCTTCCTGTTTTCTGATGATTCAGGTGTTTTTACTATCTCCAGTCTAAGTGGTATGCTAAATAAATCCTCTTTTCTGTGACTGACTAGTTTAGTCCTGCACATGTTGCTGTTAGTCTTAATTCTCTTTCCATAATTTTTCTCCCTAGTGATAACCTTTATTTATTTGTAGATAGTCACATATGGATATAATCCCACAGGCCATCCTTAGAATTGTTTGCCCTGAAAGGCAGTATTTGTTAATTCATACTTCCCCATATGGAAATAATGCAAAAGTTCAGAAATGCAAGGCAAAATTGCAAATGATATGTCCAGAGTCGAATGTTACACACAGACTTTCCATACTCAATGAAAAAATGAAGAAAGTTTGGCAACCATGACAAGCAAGTCTGATCCTCCTCTTTCCTCACAATTGAGTGCCCTATTGCTGAGCATTTTGGGCACCGAACAAAAGAAAATTAAAGATTAAAAAGACTAAAATTGCCTCAGATAAATTCTATTCTGTTCAACCTTCCCTATAAGCCTAGAGATAACAATTACTTTTCTGACTAATTTTCACTTCCTAGCAGCCTTTTGGGCTATCTTCAGTGTTCCACAACTTTTGTTTACTGCCCCTGCACTGAAACGAGGGCATTTTTTTTCTACAGGTGTCCTTTTAGGCATAGACCATCTCTTTTTCTTTTTTGGGGGCGGGGGAAGAGGGGATTGAAGTGCTAGTCTCTTTAGGATTTTTAACTGTTATTTATTGGGAAGTATGAATTAACACAGCAGTGAGCAATAACTGTCTTGCAGGCCTGATGTGGTTTATCAGGGTTAGCCCCTGGCAGGCTGCTGGTGGTTTATTTACCTGCACCTCCAGAGGTAAAGCGCCAAGGTTAGACGCTCCCATTGGCCATAGATTGCCATTCCTGGCCAATGGGAGCTGCGGGAGCTGGCTGGGAATGGTGATCCTCAGGCAACTGGAGTTTCAAGTGGCTGTACCTGCAGAAGCACAGGTAAATAGTATAGGCAGCCTGCCAGGGGCTAACCCTGGCGAGCCACATCCAGCCAATTGCCCACCCCTGGATCAACAGGATAACTCCAGAAATTACCTGTGTAGGAAAAAGAATGATGTGAGTTTTAGTATCATTTTGATATCTTCTGGGGAGGGGGGCAATCAAGAGGTGCAGTTTTACCAATGAGATGCTGCCCCATGTCCTGTGTGGCTGCCACTCCAAAGCCTGGAAACCACACCAGAATGCCATTCAGGATCAGCTCATCAGAATCATCCCAGGGAAAGGACTCAGTCAACTCAGCCATCCCCAGAACAGCCAGCCAGTGAGGAGCAGAAGAAGATTATCATGGTGGATGTCATGGTGCCCTTTGAGAACAGGACCCCAAGCCTACCACTGGGCCTGAACTTTGGAAGGTGGAGAAGTACACCCTTCTGGCCAACACCTTGAGATCCCAGGGCTATGAAGTGCAAATCCATGCCCTGATTGTTGGAGCCCAGGATACTTGGGATGCTAACAAGAAGTCAGTGCTGAGAGTATGCAGTGTCAGTTGATGTTACACTCTGCTGATGCGGCATCTTATGGTGTCCGGTGCCATCACGTGGTCAAGGGTCATATGCACAGAGCACATCACAGGACACCAACAGTAGCAAGACAGATGAGCAGGGCCACTGACGAGGGACAGTCAGGGAAGTAGATCAGCATTCTTTCTTGGTAGACCATATCTTTCTATAGAGAGTCTACCTCAATACCGACAGATGGAGGGACAATTCCCACCCATTTATATATCTGCTCTATCATGACTAACTCCATAAAACTTCCCAGAGGTGATGTACCCAAACACTTATTCCCTACTGTCTATAAACTTGCACACCTAAATCTGGGTCAATGCTGATTATGTACCGTATGTGTCTTGTGATTTGCTAATCAAAACTTGTAATTTTGATAATCCGAACATGACCCCAGATATATAGAGCCTTTCCTCTAAACCTGTGTAATGTGACAATCTCCACTCATTGATATATTTGCTTTCCCACTACCAACTCTGTACAACTTTCCATAAGTGGATATCAGCAATCAAGTATTCAGGCACATCAAACAGTATTAAACTTGCACACCTAAATCTTGCTTATTGCTGATTATATGATACATGTATCGTATGATTATTAAGCAAAACGTATATTTGTAGATAAGCCAAGGATGACACCCAGCTGTACAGACTCTTCTTCTCAACCTGTTTACTATGTACATTTTTTTAACTTTAGCTTCAGTAAAGTTTTTAAATCTCTTCAAAACACTGCATGGAGTTTTAGCCCAGGTGTTTGCACCTCTCATACAAAATTGTATACATGTAACTGGGAGTCATTTGGACAAAACTAGTAGATATTTTTGTAGAACAGCAAGACTGCTTTCCATCAATCTCTCTTTTATTATTGTTACTTTATCATTTGGTGAGAAATGTTTTTTATCTCTTTACTTGCTTTCATGTTCAATCTGTGCTCATGAAAATGGCAGTTATTTCATGCAGTTTACAAAGATGTGGGTCATTGGCACTTTGCAGACACTGTAGAAAGCTCTTTGTTTAATTAGGCATTATGTGACAAATGAAGGTTAAATAAAAAAATGGAGTAGGGAATGGAGAGAGAAGGTGCCAAATATAAGGTCACACATTTCCTTACAGGTTGCTGCACATTTCATGTTACCATTTTTGTTACTTTAAGGTTTATTTCAAAATAAAGGTTTATTTATACAGATGTAGATAGAGAAGTATGTATGTAGAGGAGATGAGTGAGCATGAGAGTAAGAGCTAATGGAAAAGGGTGCGGAATGGGATTGGAGGTTGCCAAAGACACTGGATAGGGAATGAGATTGGATGAAAGAAAAGTGGTGAAAAGGAATTAAAAGACTTTGAGAAAAGCAGTTTGTGGGATGAGTCTGACAGAAATGGGGATCAGGAAGCAGTTAGGCATAAGGAGACTCATTAGAAGCAGGAGGAACAATAGTCCTACACGCCTCTCAACTGCAGTGTTGTAATGGTGGTTGTGACAGATGTTGTAATGTCTTTGGGGACCTTATTGTATTAAGTTTATGGTTTATGTATCACTGTGTGCTAAGGCTTGTATTCATCTGCAGGGTGTAAAGTTACCACTACTCCACCAGGAACCAAAAGTAGTGGATGATGATTAAGGTGAATCACTTAACTTGTAAACATCTGAGAGGTGGTGCTCCTAAGGAGATCCTGGCCCCACCCCCAGGAAAGCCCCTGCCACCTCATGCTGCTGCCTCTGATCCCCCCCATTGCTTCCCCACAGAGAAAGCAAGCGGGAGGAGGACAGGTGACTGCAGAGCTCATGCTTGTGGGGAACCAGCTTTTAAGCTAGTTGCACCCCCAAAGCATCTGCTCCTGCCTCTGTAGAATGCAGCAAGGGGGTGGGGACAGGCCACTTTGTGCAACCAGCACATGCAGAGAGCCAGCTTAAAAGCTGGCTCCCCGTGCATACGAGCTCCCACCTTCCCTCCTCCCCCGTGCTGCTGCTTCTGTTAGAGAGGCAGCAACACAGGGGGTGGAGGTCAGATGGCTCCGTGGGATCTGGTGCTCATGTGGGTAGCTCTGTTGAAACTGGCACATGTAGGGGGCCGACTTCCCCTGAGCACCAGTTCCCGCTTCCCCCTTCTTGCTGCCTCTGATATAGCAAAGGGAGGGGGGGGATGTTGTATGTATTCATTTGGATTAACTGATAAGCCTAAGCTTATCAGCTAATGGTTTAAATGTCTATATGTTCATATTATTAGTTCAAACCAGGTATTTTCACAAACCAGCAGTCACAGAAAAGCTTTTTGATTCTGAAATCAGTATTAATGTGACTTAATACTGTTCATAGCTCTTAGAGAAAAATCAAAGTACAAGTGCTAGTCTTTAGGCAGATTGACTTGGTGGTGACAACACAGTGCAAAGCAGGGAGCTGTGCAGTTGTAAAACCCAATCAGAAGAGAGCAGGATAATGGTCCTTGCCTGAGGCAGGTGATGGCTGAAGACCAGACTCTGCATTCCTGGAATGAACCACTGGGAGAAAAGGGAGGAATTCAGATGCACTTAATCTCAAATTGTGAGAGCAGTGACTAGAACTGAAGGCTTTTAGAGCTTTATCAAGAAAGCTATTTGATCTGGCTGAAGGTCTCACCTAGTTGGGGACAGGCGAAGGATATCACTTCCACTTTTACCTCTGGTGCCTGTTGGTGAGCCTGGAAATAGTATATGAAGTACTGTATCCAGGGGCAGCAGGTTGCATAGTCTCAAGGAGGCTGTGTCTCCCCAAACAGCTGAGCATGGCTCTGCCCTATACAGGCCCCTTGCTCATGTGGCTCCTCTCCACTCCCTCTGTGCTCCAGGGCTGGGGAGGCTATGGCCTTATGACACCTATGCTCTCCATGGGCTTGAAGGGGGGATAGATAGGAGGGGACTCAGGGCTAGTGAGTGGGCTAGGGAGGAAAGCTCTGGGCTTTGGCAGGAGGGTGGAAGGGGCAGGGCTGGAGGCAAGCTTTGCACAGCCCATGATTGTACCTCGGTATTCTTATCTAAATCCCTGGGAATGATTTCTAACTTGCCACCACAAACTAAGTTTGAGATTTTTTTCCTCCTGACAAAGGAAGTTATATGGATATATTTGTATTCTGTTTTCTTTGTAGTAATCACTGCTCTTTCTTCGACAGGCAGAATATTCAGAACTAGTTGAAACATTGCTATCAAGTCAACAAGATCCAGTCATTTACCAGCGGTTAGCAGATGCATTTAACAAACTTACTGCAAGCAGCACTCCTCCTTCACTGGACCGTAAGCAGAAGATGGCCTTCCTAAAGAGTTTAGAAGAATTTATGGCAAATGTTGGTGGACTCCTCTGTGTAAAATAAACAACAACAAAACTGTATTCCTAATTTAGACCCTTTCTGCAAAGTGCACTGAGAAATGCTGAAAACTGACTAAACCTTGTATCTGTTTCTGGGTTCTTTGGAGCCATCTCGGATTTCAGAGAGCCTGGAAGTTTGATATAACACAGTTAAACAGGAGAGGTCAACTTTGAATCAGCTTCTGCTATTATGTGTTAATCACAATCTGTCATACATGTATGTTGTAGCGAATGAACAACAAATTGAAATTTAAAAAGAATATTCCATATATGTGCAAACAGATATGGGCACAGTGACAAATAGTGCCTTTTCCCCTTTAGCTTATAACGTAAGTGGCTGGACAAACTTCTACAGATTTTTTTTTCTGAAAACTGTATTAGAGTATGATGTAGACGCATACGAAACAGTAAACTGTGTAGCCGATTGAAGCTTTATTTTTTTTCTCTTTGAAGATTAAGTTTATGATTCAAGGGGAAAACACGAAATGGTATTTTTAACTTGTGTTTAGTTTTGTTTTTCTACATCACCTGATGTTACATGTTTTATGTAATACAGGTTTCTACATTATATTCTGCTGCCTAAAGTTCAGAAGGAAAAAGGTGTATATTTTTGTTCCCCTAAAATGAACTTTAGGAACTGTAGCCATTTCATTGCCTTAATTTAAAACAAAAAAGTGATATACTTTAAACAAGAAATCTAAGGCAACCTTTGAGTCTTCAGAGTTGGATTAGAATGTTGGCATTAAGCTGCTGTGTACTTGTTGCAGCCCTTTGTTTTGACGTGTGTTATGTTGGAGTGTGAGTCTAATGCAATGTTCATGTGTAATTTTACTTTCAGTATCTGTTTTAATTCACATCCAAGTCGCACACAGCTGCAACATATTTCCTCACTGAACTGTTTGCTTAAGCAATAACAATTCAAAGGGTGTAAATTATTGATTTATACAAACTATTTTTAAGTTGGGGCATTAGATAAAATAATTATGTTAGTCTAGGGGTTTCAAACTCTATTTTACCCAAGGGCCATATACATTTGATTCAAGGGTTGAAAGATAATTAGGATTTGTGGTGATTTTTTTTTTCCACCGCCACCTCCAGATTTGTTGTGTTCTCTGCTCTCGCTCAGTTTTGTGTATCAATACGTAAGCAGTTCAGATGCACATGTTTCATTCTGCCAACTGATAGATGGATATAGTGGATCAACAAGAGAGAGTAACACAAGAGTATGGAAGCAAGACCTATTTTGCCAACAGTCATACACCTGGCAAAACCAGGCAAGCACACATGCTGCATGCCAGATAAAATTGCTTCTTATGAGAAATGTGGGTGGGAATTTGGCCCTGGGGCCTTGTGCTTGATACCTCTGCTAAATTGTGCTGTTGAATGTTTTCCATGTGTTTTTTACATTTATATAAAATGTACAGTATATATACCTTTATAGTGCTGTGTATAGCATCATGTTTGCAACTCTGTGCCATCCTTCAACTGTTCATCTCAAAACCAATCATATTACCCCCAAAGTGGCATACGTCTGTAGCACTGTGCTAATCATAATGATTCAGGACATACTTTTTGAGAGAAACTCATGGATGTAACAATATGAATGGAATACAAGGGCCAAAAGTGCCCTCTCGCGAACAGAATTTGTTCACATTTAATTTAGTCCACTGTTAATCTGAAAACTGGGCTGGAGCAAACTTACACCTTAAAAGGTAACCATAAAATTTGTTAGATAACATCTCTTTATAGTTAATATTGTATATTTCTGTTTGAATATATTTTTAGTAATATTTGTAAGACAGGGAATGGTTTTTAAATTTCTTCCTAGAAACCCTATCACCTTTCTCTAAGATTTCTTGTGTGCGCAACAAAACTACTTTTGCACTAGTGATGGGTAAACACCATTGTATCCAATTACATTATTCCATCTTGTTTTCAGTTATTCTAGCAAATGGATGACAAATTTATTGGAGCTACTTTTAGAGTTCATGTCTGCGTTTTTACTTTTTATAAAGGTAACAACCTTCAAAACATAGTCTTTTGACTGAAGAGCATTAAGTGCTAGAAACCCGAGCCACAGTAGTAATTGCTAGTCCACCTGGCAATACCAAGAGTTGAACTTCTGAGGCAGATCTCTTATTAAGAGTAATGACCACTGTGACATAACACATAGCTCTAATATTTTCAGAACTACTTTATATTGAGCAAATTTTAAGTAAATAAACTTCAAATTTAACTATGGAAGTGTGGAGATTCCCTAGTATAATTAAGTTAGCAATGAATCAACTAACTAGTTTAACATTCAAACAACATAGTACACCTAACTTATTTAGATGAATCTAGCTCATTGTGTATTCAAGAGCACTGACACAATGTAGCTGTTTTCATAGCTACAAGCATTGATGTTCAAAAATTGTTGTAAAAGATTACTGGTACTTTACAATTTTAAGTTTGTTTGCCCTGTCATTTTAAGCGTGTTTTGTGTTAGAGACGCTGACCAGTGCTTTTAATTTGCAAATTTCAACTTTGTCATGTATGTCTTTTAAGCTTGACAACATGTTTTTCTTGTTTTGTTCTTTTTTTCCCTTTCATGTCAGACTGTTAAACATTGATCTTTCCACCCCATCTAGTGTTTGTTGTAGAGCAAATGCAAATATCTCTCTGCATTTTTGTGTAATAATTTCATCATAGATGTCACTAAAGTTCTGGGAATAAGTTTTTTGTTAATTTATTCCCTTTTTGCTGGCTGTTTCAGTACCTAAACTAATTGATCATGTTCTTGTCTTAAAAACAACCTTTAATAAGATTCTTTGAAACTCTCAGCCACTCAGAGCAAGATCCAAAGTCCATACAGCAGACTCAAAGTCCACTGAAGTCACTGGGAATCAGATTCCAGGTCTCTGTTTAGAGACACTGATGCGATTAACATCACTGCATTGAGTTTCCATTCACTGTGCAAAGTGAATAATGCTTTTAAATTGTCGATTTTTTTAAATTAACAGTTTTAAAATCAAATTGATTTAATTATAAACCATATATCATAAGTATAATATATTTTTGTCAAATTAAGATTTTTTTACTAAAAGAGATTGCTATCAGAGAGTCTTAATTGTTAAGTTAACAAGCCAAATAACTTTTCTCTTCATTGGTTTATACAATAATTTCTAGCTCCAAGGCTTCCCAACCCTAACCCCACATAGCTACTCTTAGCACTAGCCTAATGATGTCCCTATGTTTCAACCCTCTAAAGATTAGAGGCCTGCAAACAAGGGATTCTAATTGGGCAAGGAAATATAAGAATTGGGAGGAACAGGTCCCTGAGGACTAGGGAAGTATTAACAGAACCTATACTTCCGGGCCTTATTACATCTTTATTATCGCACAAGAAGTCAGTTTAGTACTGTACCTAACTGGCAAGAAGTTTTCTCCTTGAGTGATAAAGGACTTGCTGTTTTCCTCAGAATTTGGAGGGGAAAAAACCCTATTTCCTCTTTGCATCTAAACCCTACTAGTTAAAAATGTTTGGAATTTGAATTTGAGTCTTCTGCCTAGTGTATAGCACTTACCTTTGTCACAGCTTTTAAACATGAATTGTTTTAAACATTTGCCTGGATATTGCCCTTTGTGTTGTTTAAACCATACAGGTTTAGAGAAGAAGTTTGGTCTAAAATGTCCATTGTGTTTCTTAAAGAAATGTAATTATAAGGAAATCATCTTAATTTCTAATTACAAATTTTAAAAGGTCTGGTCAAAATTAAAAATAGTACTTCTATTATAAAGCATTTTTATGTAAATGAAACTGAAATGACTTAAACCCTTTAGTTTAAAAAGTTACTTTTTTAGTTTTTTTAGTTTTTTAAATGAGAATAGAGTAATCTACTGAGCATAGGACAGAGAATGAGAAACTTCCAATTCTAACACAAGCTTTGCCTTGGACACCTCACTTAAATTCTCTTCCCCCATCTGTAAAACTAAAAATATTTACATACTTGGGGTGTTAAAAACAACAAGTAGTTCTGTGGCACCTTAGGGTACATCTAGACTGGCATGTTTCTGGTATCCCAGAAAAACTCCACCATGTCCAGAGAACGAGTTTGCTCTTCTGCAAAAAAAAAAAAAAAAAAGAGGAAGAGCAAACGTGCTCTTTCGGGGAGCCTTGTATACCTCGTTCTATGAGAAATAAGGGTTCCGCTGAAAGAGAAGGATTTTCTGCCATTTGGCCCCTTCTAGACAGGGTCAAATGGTGGAAAAGCCTCTTCCAGAAAAGCTATCGGAAAAAGCTATGCAATTGTGGAGCACAGTTTGCATAGCTTTTTCCGACAAAGGACTGTAGTCTAGACCTAGTCTTAGAGACTAACAAAAATATATAGGAGCATGAGCTTTCGTGGATAAAACCCACTTCTTCAGATGAGTTGGAATGGAAATAACAGAAACCAAGATATATACAATTAAAAAAAGCAGTTACCTGTCAATTGTAGGACCCGTAATAATGAAGCTAACTAAATGGGCTGGATGTGTTCCATTCATTGCTTTTGATATGAAAATGCAAATGTCAAAGGCAGGGGAAATTGGCTTTGTAGTATGATAACAAGCTAATGTCTTTATTCAAGCCAATGGTAACAGTGTTAAATTTGTAAATGAATTCCAATTCCATTCTACTGGAATTCATTTACAAATCTGACAGTTACATGGGCTTGAATAAAGACATTATCACATTACAAAGCCAATGTTCCCTGCCTTTGACATTTGCATTTTCACATAAAAAATGAGTGGAACACATCCAGCCTACTTAATTAGCTTCATTAACACGAGTCCTACAGTTGACAGGTAACTGCTTTATCTTGGTTTCTGTTATTTCCACTTAAAACCCACTTCATCAGATGAGTTGATCTAGGAAATCCCATGATCCTATATATTTATTTTTGTTAGTCTCTAAGGTGCCACAGGACTACTTGTTTTTAAGGTTACAGACTAACATGAGTACCCTTCTGAGACTTCAGGGGGTGTTGTGAGCATTAGCTGAAATCTGTAAAGTGCTTTGAAGATCTAAAATGCTGTGTAAGTGCTAAATATTTTTTCATTTTACTACTTATGATAAATTGACCACACTAAAAATTGAAGTGCTTCGTAACCATAAAACAGATACAGCACAGGTAGCAGAAGTACTACAGTATTTCACAGTAATAATCTAATCAGTGTAACAACACCTGCTTTAAACTTTAGATGCTTGGATTGCTCTGCTAAAATATGGTGCTTTTGTTTAAATAAGGGAAGCTTCCCTACCAATGTGCCTCTCAGCTCTGCTCTAAAGAGTCAGATGGCAGTTGTTTCTGTGCTGAGTCTTTGGTGCCTCTACTGAGATTGCCAGCAAGGGTGCCAATTATGGTAGTATTTGCTTTTTGTGGGGAGGAAGGATGGTACCATCTGAACAATTA